TCAACAAACCAATTTCTCCTTTTATTCAAACAATTTTATTTGCAATTTCTATAATTCTTTTGGCTATATCTATTGCTTTTCAAGCACATGAACTTGAAAGCTTTTTTTATACAGTTTATGCTAATGTGTTAGGTCAATAAAGATTCAAATAACATAAACAAATTATATAAAAATTATTCATAAATTAACAAATTACGTGAAACACATGTCCGCTCGAAATTCACATTGAAGAATATTTCCACCCCACCACTTTTAATAATCGGCCATGCAGCTTTTGAGCCTCAAGGCCAATCCAAACCCCACAAACCTTCACACAATTTGCATTAACTGAAAAAATAAAAATGAATTAACAAAATAATTTCCCTTTTATAAAATAAAAGTAAAAACAATCGAAATTAAATAAAATTTACCAATTTGGATGAATAAACTTTGTATTTTCTTGATTTCGGTAGCCCTAAATCTAAAAACTGGCGAAAATACACTTTTTGGACAAACCAACGTGTTTCACCCATTCTTTTCGCCATAAGGAAGATACTTTCGAGTATCGCATAAAATCTACCATGTAAACGACTAAAAGCTTTTCCATTTCAGATGTTAAATCATAATTCTGACAAAAAAAAAATGAAAAAAATTATATAAAAAACCAAAAAACTTTAAAAAGCATAAATACAAAAAAAAATTGAGTAAAAACTGTTGAATACATACAGTAAAAACAATTTTAGAAATGTAGGAGGATTTAGGGAGTTTGGATGCCAACGACCATGAAAAAAGGGTGCATTGTAGAGTTCTTTGGGTACTCTGTCAAATACTGGAATTTTGTTTGCCCCATAATAGAGGGCATAGTAAGTTGAAGAGAAAGAAATTGCTAATCTTTACTCCATTGATTTCTTTATCAAGGTTTTCTGGGTTTCCATTGAAGAAGAAATCAAAGTTGAAAATAGAAGAAGAAATTTAAATTCAAAATTGAAGAAAAATTAAAATGAAAATTAAAGAAGAAATTAAAATGTTTCGTACATCGGTATATTTATACCCGAAGTTTCATGGTACCCAGGTCTTGGACCCGCCTGATAAACCGGATATCGGGTCTAACTAGGTACTGGTACGATCTGTTTATTATCGGGTTGAAAAAATTCGAGGAAAAATAATAATAAAAAAAAATACCTTGATCTTCGCTTATAGAAGATCTTAAAAAGAGGGGAAATTTAGTGAAAAATAGAGAGAAGAAGAGAGAAGAGAAGAGAAGAGGAGAGAGGAGAAAAATATCGGCTGACGAGACCAGAACATTAGGGTTAAGTATATAACAAAGATAAATATTTGGGCCTGTTTTGTAAAGTAAAAAAAAAGCCCGTATTTAATAGCTATGTCCAATAACAAGAAGTACTAGCTTCGTTATTGAAAACAAGTCAAGAGGCACATACTTGTATTATAGTTGTCATACCTCTAATCTTCATTCGCAGTGCATCCACTGTTTTTTCCCAGCATAGCTATAGTGGCCTCACAAGCCTGATTAAAGAACCCACATCAAATTATGCACACATAAAAATAACATAGTGTAGGGAATATTTCAAACATCAACTTTGAGCCCCACTGTGATCATGCATTTAAGCATGGCGGCGTCCAAAGGGAAGGAAACTAGAGATAAAAGAATCGCCAACAAGATTTAGGAACTTGTAAACCGTTCACGGGTGTAAAAGTTACACCCCATTCACGATCACGGAGACCGCTAACTCCATAGTGGTCCGAAACCATGACTGGATATTCGGCACCATCAAATTTTGACAGGCTAAAGTTGTATCACCTAATCAAAATTAATTCCTAAAACCACTAACTAAAATAAATAGGGAAGTACGGTCGAATCCACAGGGAAACAATGTTCTTTTATTCCTAATATATTATTATAATCTAAATTATCAAGAAACAAGTGAGAATTGTGAGAATTATACTATGACAATAATTAAACTAAAGAAATAATCAATAATGAAAGGCCTAGGGCATAGGTTCACCAATAAATAATATTGCGGGATGAAAGACAATAATCAATTATCAATGCATAAATTAACCGGATTATAAAGGGCTTTCGCTACGCATTATAATCACAGAATTAACTTAGCGATATTAAATCGCATCACTCGAATCTTGACTTAACCATTTATAAATTAATTCTACCTATTGAAACTAAGCCTAAACATCAATTCTCATATGTCGAATCTCAAATCAATATTGCATAACTCATACAATAAAACCTGCGCAAATCTAATTGCATATCATTATAACAATCAATAGGAAATTAACCCAAAACATTAACAATCAATAATAATAAATCATCCCTTCATATTAATCATGGATCCCCAAGAACCCTAGAATTAAACTACTCGTGCATAATTAAAACTAAACTAATCAAAGCGATTAAATGAAGTATCAGTAAAACAATAATTATAAAACTAATATGAAAATAATAATAACAAAGACTAAAGAAAAGCAATAATAATAAGAAGACTAAAGTAATAACTGTAGTTTACGAATAACATTATATCTCCTCTAAACCAAAAACATGAAAGCTAATAAAAGAACAAAAACTAATAATGAATCTCTAAGCTGCTGATGAGAGAAAACTAAACTGAAGATAATATAAACTATCCTACTAAAGTTAAACTAAGAATTGAACAAGTTACGGAAATAACAAAACTAAGACTAAGGAAAAAATAAGGACAATTTCAAATTTGCTACCACTAAAAGTCATGCACCTCAATTTTGCTACCTCTTAATTTTTTTTTTTTTTTATTATACTACCACTCAAATCATTGTTGTCAAAATTCAGTACCATTTGACTGAAGCTGTTAAGTTTGCCGTTTGGTGGGCCCCACGTCAGTTAATTAATACCCCTCCAGTTCTTCTCTCTCCTACCTTAACTCTTCATTGTCTTCATTGAATACTCACAACCATCTCCATTAATGGCTGAGTAAATTAAAAAAAAAAAATTTAGGAACAATTATCTTTCCTCTGTCACCATCTCCATCTCCATCTCTCATCTCTACTTTTCTGCAAATTGGAGGTGAAAATTGAGTGCGTGGAAGGCAGTTATTGGAACAACGAAGCAGAGGAAGACAAAGCCTTGCGAGAAAGCGTCATCTCCATTGTTGTAAGTTGAAGATTCGCCTGACAACGACGCATTGGAAGGTACGTAAACCTATCTATTTATAGTGGTCCAACAATGGTGCTAATTTTGCAATAATTCTTTGTAGTTGGGGTATTTTAGGAAGAATATGCAGTAAACCCTAGATTAGTGAGCTTTGATTATTTTAAGCAATGTGGTTTGACTAATTAAAAATTGATGCTTTCACAGTCATGCGGTAGGGTATGGGGGTATACTGAGACGCCTTTTTTGTTAATAAATTGCATTGATTTAGTTACAGTTTATAATAAAATAGGGCTTGATGTATTTGTTTATTGCTCTTTAATTGTAGATAAAAACAAATGGCTGTTGTTGATAATGAGGTTGACATTTAGCTAAGAATATTTGGGGGTTTTCTGATTAAGAACCGTAAGGGAGGAGGGAAGTACCAAGTGTATGAAGGTGGGTTCACTTATTGGAAAAGGAATGTGCCTCTCAATTACTTTTCAGTAGGATACTTAAGGTATTTATGTATTGAAGGGATTAGGGACATGGGGTGGGATGTACCTACCCTATATGCTGTGTGGTTCAAAGAGAAGGGTAAGTCTTGGATGACTGGTAAAAGAAAGATAGAAACTGATGAGGATGTAGCAGGGTTATTAGAAGCCAAGCACAGGGATGGGTATTTAGAGTTGTATTGTACAGTTTCTGATGACCTCACCCCTAGTCAGAACCCACAAAGCATTGAAGCTGAAGCTAACAACCCCACCACAATCCCAGAAAATTCCAAAGTCATTGAAAGTGCCCATGTGTCTGCCCAAAGTGTTACTGGATCCAACCCAACCTAACCACATCAATATGAAACACAACAATGCTGTACCCCACCTCAAACCCAAGTGTCTGTCCAAACTATTCCTGGATCCAACCCAACACAGCCATCCCAAACACAAAAAAGCCCTATCTTGCTTGAAAAACAAAACAAAACACAAAAACCTACTGAACCTGTGCTGAGAAGGAGCCCTAGACTTGTTATAGTTCCTGAAACAGAACCTGTTGAGAACAAAGTGAGGAGAAGCCCTAGGTTTTGTAGATCTATTGATAAGGGGAAGGGTAAGGTTTCAGTAGAAAGTGGTGATACTGGTGTGAGTCTGCATAAGGGTAGAGGGAAGAGAATTAGGAAAGAAAAAGCAAAGAGAGCTCTGAAATTGGATGAAGAGGAGGAATCAGGTGGGTCATCAAGGTCAGATGCAACTGATATAGAAATTGATTGGGAGCCTTGGGAAGAAGAGGCAAACAGTGATGGTGATGATGAGTGCCATAGGAAAACTGGAGAAGGCATCCTAACTGCAGTGCACAGTAGCTTGGAGGTTGTGACACATAAGGGTGAAACTTCAGAGGGTGTTGGTGTTGAAAGGGAGGGGAAATTGAAACAACTGAGCAAGGACATTGCTTGGAAGGAAGTGGATGTGCATGTTGAAAGTTCTGAGTCAGATGAGCTTAGAAGTTTTCATGGGTCAGATGAGGAAGAGGATGACAGTCCATGGTTTCATAAGGAGACTGATTTCAAAAAACCAGTTGTGCTAGTGAATAAGTTGAAGTTCAAAAACAACACCATTCTAAGGAAAGCATTGAGGACACATGCTATAGAGAACAAATATGAGTAATACTATATTCACAATGGTGGTAACAGGATACCACATTATGTAAGAGAAGGTGTTTGTGTGAGTGGAACTATAAAAGAAGCAAAATCACAGGGGAATGTAACTGCAGTTCAAGGGTTAGAAAGTGCAAGTTTAAGGTGGCTGCTAGAAGAATGTACAACAGTCAAGCATGTCAAATCATTGATTTCAGACCAAAGCATATGTGTACGAGGAGTAAAAAGAATTCAATGGTGAATGCTGAGTATCTAGCTGAGAAGTATGTTGAGGAATGGAGGCACAACCCTAGTTGGGATTTAAAAAGTTTTAGAGAAAGGGTGTTGAGTGACTTGGGCATTATAGTAGGCTATTCCAGAGCTTGGCTTGCTAGAGCTAGGGCAAAGCTGATGATTTATGGGTCACCTATAGAGCAATATGCCAAGGTTTTTGATTATGGAAAAGCTGTTATCAAGTACAGTCCTGGCATTGGGGTCTGCATAGTTGTAGATGGGGAAGTAAGCAGCCCTCAACCACCACTCTTTATGAGGATGTACATATGTCTTCAACCATTGAGAAGTGGTATGATAAAAGGGTGCAGGCCTCCGATTGGTATAGATGGATTTCATCTAAAGGGAGCCTACCCAGGACAAATACTGGTGGCTGTTGGAAAGGATGGGAACAACAACATATATCCACTGGCCTGGGCTACAGTTGAAGTTGAGAACAAGGACACTTGGTGCTGGTTTTTGGAGTGTTTAAAAAAGGATCTTGGTGATGTGTGTGATGGTGGAGGTTGGACATTTATGTCTGACAGACAGAAGGTGAGCTACCCTAATTATACTACTAATTACAAGAACTACTTTGTTTTGACAAGCTATGCATTAATGTCTTGATTGTGGATACAGGGTCTCCTTGAAGCCTTGGAGGTGCAAGTCCCATTTGCTGAGAAGAGGTTCTGTGTAAGGCATATCTGGGCCAACTTTAAGCTTCAATTCAGTGGCTCAACCTTCAAACAGTTGTTCTGGGATGCTGCTAGGGCTACAACATTGGCGAGTCAGTCAACTTTAGTCCTATGTTTGATTAGTTTGTTCAATTTGTTTGAAGATGCATCAACTTTGATTAGTTGCTTTAAGTGGCATTGATTGCTTTCTTAAATTGAGATGTTGGATGTTGCCTAAATAGTTATGTTGTATTTTGTATGATGTGGTAGGCTGACTTTGAGGTGGCAATGGAATCAATTAAATTTCTGTCTAAGGATGCATTTGTTTTTCTTGATGACATTCCTGCTAAGCATTGGTCTAGGAATGCATTTTCTTCTAATTGCAAATCAAATATGCTGTTGAACAATGTATGTGAGACCTTCAATGTTGTTATAAGAGAAGCAAGGGATAAGCCAATACTCACTCAGATGGAGTGGTTGAGAAGGTATATGATGAAGAGGCACAATGAGAAATGGGAGGCTGGCAAGAAAATGGAAGGTAAGGTGACACCCTATGTCACTAAGCTTTTTGAGAGGATTGAGAGGGCTGCAAGGCATTGCATAGTGCAGGTTTCAAGGGGAGACTCCTATGAGGTTGAGCTAAATGGGGATACAGTGCTAGTTGACATAGGTGATAGGACTTGCACATGTTACCATTGGCAATTAACTGGTATTCCATGTGTACATAGGTTTGCATGCATTTTGGATAAGAGGGTGGACCTAGAAGACTTTGTGGATGAGTATTACACCAAGCAGAAATACATGCATGCTTATGAGGAAGCTGTTAAGCCCCTGCCTGGACCTAAGCATTGGGAGAAGCATCATTTTACACAGCCCTTACCTCCAGCAATCAGAGTAATACCTGGGAGGCCAAAGTCAAAGAAAAGAAAACTGGAGAGAGGTGAGGGAGCACCTGAAAGTAGTAGCAGACAACCAAACTGTAATCCCCCGTATTTTCTTAGTATATAATAATTATATATATTTTTATTATACGACTATTTTAATAATTTTATATTTATACAATGATTTTTTTATTTATACAAAATATTTTGGGAAGATTTCAGAAAATAAAAACAAGAATCTTTTTAAAACCCATAATTCCATTTTAATTAAGTAATTGACTCCATATTTCCCTCATTCACATTTTTTTTAAAGGAAACTTGCTCCTTATTTCCCCTTCTCAAAACCCTCAGATATTGCATTTACTGCTTCCCCTTATTACTCCTTCACTACCTCCCTCATTCTCCTTTCACGACTCACAAGCATAATAATAAAAAAAGTTCTGCTTCCTCTGTTGCGCTGCTGCTGCCTCATCCGGAACCCACCACCTCAGTGCCACCGGCGACCCTTGCCGCTGCCCTCAGCCCTGCCGCCGCCCAACCGGTTTCCTTCCCCTTCTCTTTTATCTTTCTCTCTTTCTTGTTTAATCCTCTTTAAAGTTTCAATCTTTACATGAATTTTTCAATGTTTAATAATTATTATAGTTTGATAATGTTTATGAGTTATGAAAGATTGCAAATTTATGAGTATACTTCACTTGATTTATGAAATAAAATTTCAGATTTGGTTTATGCGAAAATTGAAGGTTTAAATGTTGATTTTCATGATTTTAGGGTTTGATAACGTGTTGCTAAAGATATTTAATTTGAGCATGATTTTGTTGTGATTTTTCTATGACCATGATGATGTTTAATTCAGCAGCAAGTTCTTAATTTTTCGTAACTAATTTCTTAATTTCCGTTCGAAAATTTTCTTAATCACGTTTTAATCGCATTTTGACTGTAACTCGTCTGATTTTCGCAAAAAAAAAATAGTGTTTTTCGTGTGTAAATGATGTTCTAATGCGATTCAGCTTCTAAGTATGGTTTTCGTGCAGTTTTTGATTTCTATCGAAGGTTTAATTGAGTTTTCATGAAACTAATTAAATTATAATTATATATTTCAAGTTTAGATTGTTGTAATCCTATATTCTACTTTTAAACTAAAATTTCAGATTTTAATCTTAACTTTAAATAGCTTTAAGTCATGGTTTTATGATGGGTTTTCAAGTTCTCAACATACTAACGTACTATATAATGATGATTTCGAATGAAAATGTTTATGCGGTTGTTTTATAACTTTAAACTAATTCTTCAGATTATAAATCCACTTTAGAGTTGCTGAAATTTCATGCTACAAGCCATATTTTCATGATTTTAATATACAAGCTTGTAATTGAACTTTGAATTACTAGCTTTGGCTATTGTGAGCAACTTAAAGACATTATTTCAATGATTTAAGCGATTTTATAATAGTTTAGTATTGCTGTAATATATGTTGCTTGGGTATTAATTGAGTTGTTGTTGTTCTGTCTAGGAGAGGACTTCGTAGAGGGTGACTTCTAACCTTAAAGTGGCCAATCAATTTGTGTACTCAAGGTACGTACAAGTATACGAAGAACCTTGACTTTAGAAGCATGTTTAAGGACTTGGAAAAGACCTAGAATCATGTTAGGAGACTTGTGGATTGGTTGAAATTGTTTGGTAATAAGTTGATTGTTGATAATTGTGATGATTGCTTTAATTCATGTATGAGAAATTGCATTGATGTTTCCTATTGAGCATTATTTATGCAATATCATGCAAGAGAGCTTAGAAGCAAAGCTACAAGTATATATATATGGAATGAATCGTTTTAACTACTTATGCAATTGTATTGAATTGGAATGAGTAAAGAAAGAGTTAAAGCCAGATAAGACAGGATTGTGGATTTGAGGTGCCTTATGCACTTAAGGTGTTTATACACCGAGGTAGTTAAAGGATGCAATAATACATGTTGTTTGTCACTAATAAATTAAGAATTGAATTGGAAACTTGAATGATTTGTATGATTGATGTATGATTGGTTGTGTTGATTGCATGCGAGTCATCACCTAATCTAAACTGGTAAATCACGTAAAGTGCAAGAAGGATGAGCAATAAAACTCTGGATTTTTGCACATCTAGAGTAATGACAAACATGGGTTGGGGTTCACAGGGTATTAGCCGTGTACTTTTCAAAGGCCGTCTGATCTACGAGTCTCTTGTTTAAATTCTTTTAAAATTATAATGAGTTAGATGAGATCTCATACTAGCTATGGCCACGGAGTCGCGCCCGTCTGCCATTGGATGTTTATTAATGTCTTCCAAGAGGAGGCATAGGGTTTTCTTATTTATTGTTCCGGAACGGAGCACAGGGGACAACCCGGTCTATTGCTTAATCCAATCAATTAATGAAGTGATCAATGCTGTTTAAATAAAAACTTAGTAATGAGTAACTATTGAGTCATGTGTTCGAGTCAATGATAATATTGTGAGTGTATGGAATGCTTGTTAGAATCATGCTAGGATTTTTTACTATATTTCGTAGCTTGTATGTACTCAGCGTTGCTGATTGCGTGCTTTTGTGTTCATGGCCTTCGCCTTCAATGACCCTGTAATGATCCAATTATTACACTTGTAATATTGGGGAGCAGATTCATCACAGGTTTTTGCATAAACTGTCTTGCATCAGGGTGATGGGATTTGAGTGGAGAGTTGGTTAACCAGTTAGCTTATTTCATAACACAGATTGAATTTTATTTTGGTGTTGGTTCCATTACTTCCTATTTTACTGGATTTTGAATAAGGGCCGTTATGGTTCCAACTTGTAAGACTTTGATTTTTGACTTCCAGTTTTGAAACTTATATTCTTTTTAAAACTAAGTTAGTTTTCCACTGCTAATTTCTAAAACTAGCCTTAACGTTTGAACACGTGGCGGTAGCACTCCAATAATTCTCTTACAGGTTATACATGTTTTACAGGTTATACAGGCTTTACAGGTTATCAAAGGTTTTCTTTTAGAGAGAATTATTGGGGTGTTACACAAACCCTCATAAAAGACAGAAGAGGTGTGGCAACTGTGGCCAGTTTGGTCATTATGCCAAGACTAGTAAAAATGCACCAGTGCAAGTTCCAGCACCTCCACCAGAGGCCACCAAAGCATGCAAGCCTCTTTTGCAGAATGATTGGGTCAAGGAGCAAAGAAGGATGAAGGAGGAAAGGGCTGCTTGGAAGGTGTGTAATTTCTCCTGCACAAACTGTACTTTTTACACAAACTGTAGATTGTGTTCTTATTTTTCTATGTTTTTTTAAAACAGGCTGGTGGAACTCCTGGACCAAGGAGCATAGCTAACAAGAAATTCCCTCAAGAGACACCCCAACAACATGTGCCCTGTACCCAAGCATCCCAGGCATCAACAACTACAACTGCAGCACAGAAGCCAACAACTCAGGGGAGAAGGAAAGGGAAGAAGAAGAATTATGGTTTACTTTTGTTTCAGTACCTAGTCATGTACCCTGCAACTATGCTACTACTATTTTTAAGTGAACTATCTTTTGGCACAAATTGTCTGTAACAACTAAGAACAAGTTCAATTTCACTGTATGTTTGACATGCACTTTGGTCCTATGTAATTTGGCATTATGCACTTTGGTGTTGTCCAGTATATTAATGATTTTGGTCTACTTATATGTTAATTGCCATTGCACTGCAAATATTTACAAGTTGCATTGAATCTTGGTCATTTTTTTTGCCAACACAATCAAACTTCTACCATTTTATTCAAAATACTTCAAAGTCTTACATTTGCAATTTGTACTCATAAAACTACTTCTCCTAAGTACAGAAGCAATAATAGTACCCTAATCTCATTTCATTACAATTAACACACCAACAATCACAAATACACAACACATTACACTTGCTATCACACAAAGCATTCCTCCAACACCACTGTTCTGCCCTTCCTTGTTGTATTTCTTTATCTCAGAACTTAGAGCTTTGCACTTCACTATCAGGTTGTCATTTTCAGTTAGCAAACACCTTATTTGCCCACTTAAATCTTCAAGTTCTCTTTGCAGTGAGTTCATCTCCCCCTTCATCAACTTTTTATCAAGTAGAAGTTGATTGATGACATCCCTTTTCCACTCAGTGCCTTCTTCCTCATCCACCCACTCAAAGCACTTACAACCCCTACTTTTGGTTTTAGGATCATAGAATTTGCAGGCTTTGAACTTCCTTCCAGGGTTCTCTTTTGTCCATGAAGTCAGCCTAGCCATAGGAATCCCACAGTCACACTTCCTCTGTTTGGAGGGAGAAGACCTAATGAACGACATTGCAGCCTGTAATTCAACCACAATTATCAACAATTACATTCGTACAATCATTGTTTAACAAATATCAAAATCAATTTCACCCACTCATTTCCCAGCTTAAAACCCCTAATTTCAATTAGGTTATGAAACCTAACTCGATTGAATGAAATTAAGCACTAAATTAACACAATTGAAAAAGAATTATTGTATTATGCTTCATTCCAATTGAAATCACCCATTAACCAGAAATAATTTCAACGAAAAACACCTATTTCGTCTCCTAATTGGTGTCGCATAAATGAAATCATTGGGTTAAATAGCAGTGCTCACCTTAACACCAGTAAACAACAACCAGCAATTTCACCTTCTCTGCTATTCGCAATTGATCCAATTTGACAAATTCTCCAACAACATAGATTGATTTTAACAACTTACGTTTTTTTTTGTAAGGTAACAGCTTTGGAGAAGATGGGGGTACCAACAGTTACTTATACTCAGGATACTAACAAAAGTACCGTTGAAGTGGGGCCCACCAAACGACAAACTTAACAGCTTCAGTCAAATGGTACTGAATTTTGACAACAATGATTTGAGTGGTAGTATAATAAAAAAAAATTTAAAGAGGTAGCAAAATTGAGGTGCATGACTTTTAGTGGTAGCAAATTTGAAATTGTCCAAAAAATAAAGCTGCCAACCCCCTAAGCTAAACTAAGTCCTCAAATGTATATAGTTGCGTGAAATGGAATAAGGCTAATAAAAGTTGGAAACCGACATTAAGTTGAACAGCCGGAGTAAGGCCCAAGGATAATGGCGCGTCCATCTGTAGTACTCTTCATCCAATCGGGCCTAGTTTCTTGGAGTAAACTCGCGGCCTAGCTCTTGAGCGTGAACGTGACTGGGCCTCTAACTTTGGCCCAATTCTTCTTCCTTGGTTGGTCTGTGTTAGTAACTTGAAATCTTGAACCTCCTCACGTATCAGGCCCTTAATCACCGAACTAAATTTCTTTAACTCGGTCTTAGGCTATAAATATACGGTCATATAATACGATCCGACTCTAATATCTTTGTAGTGGCTAATAACTGGGAATTGTCATAATTCTGCAAATTCCTACAAAATAATACCAACTCTACAAAAATACTAGAAAACGTATATTAGTAATAAAAATAGCTCCGTAGATCTCAAATAACCACAAATATGACCGTGGGACGGGGAATAAAATACATATAAAATAGACTCATCAAACTAAAAAACTGTAGAGAATATTTCAAACATCAACTTTGAGCCCCACCGTGATCATGCTTTTAAGCATGGTAGTGTCCAAATGGAAGAAAGTTAGAGATAAAAGAGTCGCCAACAAGTTTTAGGAACTTGTAAACCGTTCATGGGTGTGAAGGTTACACCCCATTCACGATCACGGAGGTCGCTAACTCCATAGTGGTCCGGAACCATGACTGGGTATTCGGGG